AAGATAAATAGTTCCCCAACACTTTTTATGTTCTTTATGAACGAAGGATGGGCTATATGAACGTCATTCTTTTGCTATGGAATAATTAGAAATCTAGTTTATTTCCTCTAGATTCTTGTCCACCAGAGAGCTCTGGATTGTGGTGAAAAGAAATGGATGTCACAGTAGCCATAGGGAGCCTTCATTCTCTTGTGATTATCTTTTTTTGGGGAATGCCAAATAAACTTTTAATTAATGCTAGACCAACATTTGAACATATTGAATAAGTGAATAATGAGTACTCTGTGGAGAGAGTAATAATGTCTTGTTAGGCTTCTCAAATGCATTTTAAATAACTTTGAAAGGTGCAATAAAGATTTCATTAAAAAAGATAAAATGGATCTGCTTCTAAGAAAACACTAAATGAAATAGGTGCTATTAATACACCTTTTGTCTTAGTTCATTCAGGCTGCTGTAACAAAAATATCATAAGTTGAGTCTTATAAACAATGGAAATTTATTGCTAACAACAGTCTTGGAAGCTGGGAAATCCAGGATTCAGGCAGTTAGGTTTCTGGTGGGGGCCTGGTCTATGCCTCATAGATGGCACCTTCTTGCTGTGTGCTCATGTGGTGGAAGATAAAAGAGGTGGAGTTCCTCTTTTAAGGATACCTACAAAACCTTGTCACCTCCTAAAGACCCTGCCTCTTAATGGCATCATAATGGGGGATTAGGATTCAACATGTGAATTTTGAAGGGAACATAAAGACCCAGACCACAGCACATTTGTAAATGTGCTATATTCCATGTTCACAGGGGAGGGAGCAACTCCTCCCGGGTCTCTCATCTCCTTGATCTCAGACATTATGTGATTGTACCTGGATATATTACCTGTTGGGGTGTGGAGAAGAACAGGTTTGGGGGGTACAAAGGAAAGGACTATCCTTTTAAATGTCCACATTGGTTTGAACGAAAATATACAAATGACTGTTTTATAGAAAATTCTAAAACTTTTTCTGTTTCTCTCTCCAGAAATTCTTACATTCCTTACTGATGATGTCTGGAGCTGGGTATCAATGAGGTGGCTGTGATTCAGGAATCAAGCTGAGAAGTCTAACAATTTCAATTAACACAAGTGTCCAAACATTTTTTTTTTTAAGCATCAATTTAATCCTAGTTCATTCAACAGGCAAACGATTATTCAGAAATCCGTTTTTTTCTTGTTGTTTCTACTAGGTTAATTTATTCGAGGAAAAAGTCAATTTTTCTTAGGGGAAAAGATGCCAATACACTGAGCATTTCTCATGGCAGCAAAAGCACAGATTTTAAATCTACTTAGGTTTGTGCAGGGCTCTGACACAGATGGAAGGAAAGTGCACACTGACTTTAATGCACCTCCTGCCTTCAGCTTGTCATTCACTCCTTTGGGGAGGATGAAAGGATATGGCACAGACAGTGAGTGCTGAGCAGGAGTCCCCATGGGGACAAGTGGTAAAAATCGGTCCTGGAAGAGTTCTCTGTATGCAAAGGCCTGGAAGCATGAGTGAACACAGCATTTGGAGGGCACTGCAAACAGTTCTTTGTGACTAAAGCATAAAGTGCTTGTGTAGGTGTGGTGGGAGAAGAAACTTTAGGAGCCCCTCCAAATAGAACCTTATATGACAGGGGTATACCATTTAAGAGTTAAGGACCTGAGGGTATAGATCAATGGTGGAGTGCTTGCCTAGCATGTGTGAGGCCCTGGGTTTAAGCTCCAATATAGAAAAGGGGGAAGGGATGGATTTTAAACAGGAGTTGCATGTTTACAGACTGGCTAGAAACACCTAAAAATAACAAAATAAGATAAAGAAAATGGCATCCTAGAAGTGTCAGAAAACAGTGTGTGATTAAATGTTAAAAGGTTGGTATGGAAATGAGTGCCAGTCAGAAGAGAGGCAGAATTGTTGTGGGTTAAAGCCATGAGAGATGTCTTTCTGAAGCAGGAAGGCATATCTTTGTACCTTGAAGAACAGGTGGGGGAAAAAAAAAACAGTAATGGTTTGTTGCTGCTGTTGAGGGGATTTTCATTGTTCACAAAGACAAAGGCACTATAGTAGGAAGAGGCAGGTGAGCCTTTTTCCTGATCTTACTGCAATAGATGTCACCATCTCATTCCACTGGAAAAGTATAACTGAGCACAGTGTAGGAATAGTCAAAGATGTGCATTTCGGTGTCCTTGAGAAAGGATGTAGGGATTAAATGAGACCCCCAAATTAAGCAACCATGGGGACACGTGCATGACACTCAGAGATGCAGAGCAGTCCTTTAAGGAAATGTATGTAATCCCTAAGTATCTAGAACCTACTATGCACAAGCCCTGAGCTGCATCTTGGCCATATATTATCTCCTCTGGGCACCTGATTTACCTGCCTTATCTGCTTGTGTTCTAAAGTCTATTGCCCACAAGCAGTGAAAATGTGATTGATTTTTTTGGACTCTGTTAATTCATAGCTACTTCTGGGTGCCATCAAACCTGATAAATACTTTGGACTCTTCTGAAATATCAAATCACTTGGTCTTCAGTATGAATTTTATCCCACAGGTTGAATTAACTGTGGAACAAGTGTTTTGCTTTGCTGAAGTTATTTCTGCACCTTTCTAGACCTAACCATATGAGGGGATGTGAACATTATCTTTTTGATAAAAGGAAAAGCAGTTATGAAAGAAATTTAACCTAATAAAACATCTCAGGGTCCAAGCAAAAGAATTTTTTTCCATTTTTTATTGGTATATATATATATACACACACACACATATATATATAACAGTAGGATTTATTTTACATATTCATATGTGCACATAATGTAAATATAATTTGGTTAATATTGTTTCCCAGTACCTCCCCTTTCTGTTTTCTCCTTTCCCCGATACCTTTTCTCAACCCTGCTATTTTATTGAGACCACCCCCAAAAAACCTTTATTTTTTTTTCTTTTTTCACTCTGACTTGCACATATAAGAGGAAACATATAACCCTTGACTTTCTGAGTTAGTCTTCTTTTACTTAACATGATGCTCTCAAGTTCCATCATTTTCCTAAAAATGACATAATCTCTTTCTTCTTTATGGCTGAATAAAATTCTTTTGTATGTATGTACAATATTTTCTTTATCCATTTATCTGTTGATAGCTACCTAGGCTTATTCCATAATTTGACTGTTGTAAATTGTGCTGCTATAAACATGGGTATGCATGTATTGCTGTAGTATACTGATTTTAATTCTTTAGGCTAAATACAGAGGAATGGTATCGCTGGGTCAGATGGTGATTCTATTCCTAGTCTTTTGAAGAACCTCCGTATTGATTTCCTTAGTGGGTTACACTGATTTACCACCAGCAGTGTAAAAGTGTTACTTTTCCCCCACATCCTTTGCTGCAATTATTATTCTTGGTGTTCTTTTAACTGGAATGAGATGAAATCTCAGAATGATGTGCATTTCCCCAACAGCTAAAGATTAGTTGAACATTTTTCATGTATTTGTTGGCCATTTGTATGTCTTCTTTGGTGAAGTGTCTGTTTAGTTCATTTGCCCATTTATTTGATTTTTTTCTGCTATTGTAGGTTTTTGAGTTCTTTGTATATTCTGGATATTAATTCTGTCTTGGTAGAGTAGCTAGCAAAGATTTTCTCCCATTCTGTAGGCTCTCTTTTCACATTCTTATTTCTTTGGCTGTGCAGAAGATATATATATATTTTTTAATTTGATGCTATCCCATTTATTAACTCTTGGTATTATTTCCTGAGCTTTAGGAGTCTTATTGAGGAAGCTGTTATCTTTGCCCATATGTTGGAGTGTTGTATCTACATTTTCTTCTAGTAGTTGCAAATTTTCAGTACTAATTTACAGGTCTTTAATTCATTTTGAGTTGACTTTCGTGCAGGCTGAGACAGTGATCTAATTTCATTCTTCTACATATGACTATCTAATTTTCCTAGCACCACTTGTTAAAAAGGCTGTCTTTTCTCCAACATATGTTTTTGGCATCTTGGTCAAGGATCAGATGACTTTATCTGTGTGGGTTGTTCTCTGTGTGTTCTTTTTTTTTCCATTGGTCTGAGTATCTCTTTTTATGCTAGTATCATGCAGATTTTGTTACTATAGTTCTATAGTATAATTTGAAGTTGGGTTTTGTGATGCTTTGCTTTTTTTGTTTGCTTTTTGCTTAAAATAAAGAGAAGGGATTTTGCTAATCTGTGGGACTCTGCCAACATTTTTAACAATTCTGGGAAAATAATAATTGATTCATCTGGTAAATATCATACAATGGATAGATACCATAGTGGGGATACAGCCACTTGAGCTCTGGGGTTACTTTTTCATTAGAAGGACAAGAATACCCTTGTCACAAGCGAACTCATTTTGAAAAATGATTCCTTTCACATCAGCGGTAATGGTGCCTCATCTTTAATAAGGACCTTTTTCTGGTTTCTGCCAGGGAAGAACAGTCCCACTTCAAACATAAGCCCTGATTAATACAGTGTACATCAGGCTCTAAGCAAAAGGAATTTTTACCTATCATATGGAACTCTACCAACATATCCAACAGTTCTGGGAAAATAGTACATTAATTAATTCAACTAGTAAATACCTTATAATAGAATAGATATAGAGTGGGGATACAAAAGTGAACAAGAGAAACATGGTAACTACCCACCTGGAACTTAAAAGTGGAGAGGGAAAGGAAACAATTTGGCAATCGATAGATATTTTTGCTTCAGTGTACTGTTATTCTAAAGAGTCATGGTCTGAGCTTTGGATGAGGTCTAGTTACTGTTGGATGCTAATTGGGTGGTTAAATCCTTCTGAGGCAAAAAAATTAAGCAATAAAATGTGGTCAAAGTATAGGAAAAGCCAACAGCCTAATAGTTTACCATGACACAGAGACACAGGCTAGATTTAACACTTCTTAACAATAGGGTTTCTGCATTTGAAGAACTTGAAGTTTATTCTTTATGATACCACTGTGCGCCATGCACTGTGGTGATACACAAAGAACTTTTCTTCCCACCTGTTCAGAACTGACAGTGCCATACCAAATGATTTAGTCTGGACTGTGCAAACACCCACCGATGGCTGGGCTGCTGTAACCATGGAGTGCTCTGCAGCTGGGTCCCTCTTCCTTCCTCTCTGTCTAGGCAGATTCTCCTGTACCCTGATTGGAACAGCAGACGTTTCTGCTCAGGTTGGAAGTGTGTAGACATCCTTGTGGTTCTCCTGCATCCCCTGGGTCAGCTTGAGCTCTTTGGCATAATTTCATTCCACAAGCAACACAACTCATCTTAGTTTAAAAGCAAAACAGAGAGAAGCATAATTGAATGTAGCAGTCCTCGGGATTTGCTAAAATGCTAAATGAGGGGCCCGCGTTTTTAAGAGCACATTCCAGGGGAAATTCTGAAATTGCAAGCTGCAGCCCTTTCTCTTCGTGCTTGGTTTGGCTGATTTCCAAAGCACCGAGGCCAGCAATTGAGGGACTGAAATATAATCGGTGGCAATACATTTGTACCACATGAAACCTTCTCTGCCTCTGAAGGCTCCAGTGGCTGACGGAAGAAGCACATCAGCAACAGCTCCGGCTGCTACACTCTGCAAGGAGGGAGAATTGGATCACAATGGTAAGAAACTCCGGGAGTTTTCTACAGACTTCATTTGTTACCTGGGAATGAATAATTAGCGTCTGTTGGTGAAAATGGCTGTTGAGATCATGAGCCTGCACAGCCACTCGAGCTCTGGGGCACTGTCACTTTTTTACTAGAAGGGCAAGAACACACTTGCCACCAGAGAACTCATTTTTGAAAAATGATTCCTTTTTGTGTCAGGGGTAATGATGCCTCATAATTAATAAGGACCATTTGCTGGGTTCTGCCAGGGAAGGACAGTCCCACAGTGACCTCAAACGTAATCCCTGATTAATATGGTCTCTGAAGTGCACTCTTTCCTCTGAAAGTAATTGTAATTTCCATGAGACATCTTCAAAGAAATCTTTGGCAGTTTTCTTGATATTTTCATATGGAGGGTATAAACCCATTCAGATGAAGGCACCTTTCCTTTCTGCCTAATGAGTTGTCACAGCTCTGTGAGCGTCAGTGTTTACTGGAGACATTAAACGTTACTAGAGCAAACTTCTAAGTGATTTCATTTTTCTTTTAAAACTATCGTATGCAGGCAGTGACAATGGGAGCCCTTGTTTTAAAAGAAAGTGCTATGTGACTTTTAAGGAAGTTTGTTTGATTCACTTCAGCAAATATTGCTAGGGTGAGGTACACCTTAATCTGAGGTCTTTAGAGAAGGATTTAGAATTCACAGGGGAAATAACCATGTTGATCTCACAGTCTGTGCTGTCTGAGTGATTTTTCCAAGTGCTTCTTCTCAATCACCTATGATACAGGGGGGACAATTGGGAGTAAGTAGAAGGGGAAGGATTGATGGCAGTGGAGCTTCTAGACATTTTCTTTAAAGAATTAAGGGATGAAGGACACTGGTAATAATATTACATAACTTTTAAAAGAAAATAAAACCTATTATTGCATAAATGGAATGCCTGAAATATACTTATTTGACTGCACAGCTGATGTGTGGGAAATGATTATTCCATTTATAATCCAGATGAATGAAGAGACTGCTGATGGGGTGTGGAATTTTTAGAAGTGTCTGACTTTCTAACAACTCAGGAAAGGGAAAACTGGGATTCAGGTTTCGGAGAATACCGTATTTACCCTAACTCTGGAGTTCTCAGTCACTCAGAAGCACACAGACCTTAGAAATAAAGTTGCAAAGACAAGGTCCAGTTTGTCTCTTCTTTGTCAATATCTGGTGCCATTTGTCATTGCCCCCATTTTAGCAGTTCTGCTAACCTGTTGAGAACTGTAAACACCCCCTATTTCTCCTCCATCCAACAGGGTGGGTAAAAGAAATCAGCATGTCCAGCAAGAGGGTGAAAAGGGACTCAGTGCTTTGGCTTGTTTTGCCTGAATTCTTGAGGCATACTAATTCTTTTCTTCTCTGCATTGGCCTGAGAACATTCCTTAGAGGATTACCAAGGACCAGGCTGAAATGCAGATAAAATCCCCTGCCTGCACACTTGGAGCCTACACAGAAACATGGTGGCAGTGTTTTATGAGATTCAGGGAGAAAATGAGCAAGTCAGGGGCTGAGATCATTGAAGTGCAATAATACAACCTGATGAATGAAAATGTATAGACCTCCAAAGAGGGGGAACTTGCCTTTGAGGTTGGAGGAGGGATGTGATGGGGAGTGTGACATCTGTTTGCATCCAGGCCATTCTCTGGATATGTGATCTAATTACTGCTTAGAAGATTGGAAAGAATTATCCAATTGTACATTAAAATAAGACCCTTGGTCTAAATGCGCTCTTAGTGGTGGATGCTGTTATTATATAAAAGGAAGACCAATAGTGTAGAGGAAGGGATCAGGGAGAGGGAGGAAGGGAGGCAAAGAGGAAGTATTGGGGATTGAAATGAAGAAAACTGTGTTATAAGCATCTATGAATATATCGAGATGAACCTATGATGTATAATGCACTAATTTAAATATATATATTTTTTAAAAATGGTCACATTTTTAACAGTGAAGACATTTTAGTGAGCTAACTTTTGGGTAGGGAACCCTATTTCACCTTTCATTTTCTTGAGAATTCTGTAAGAGAGAATTGGGTTGAAAAACAAAAATACCCTTTAATTGGAAAGGATGGGGGGGGGGTAAATCTATAGATTAGATTTTCATTAAGTCTTCTCCATGATGAATGGAAACTAATCATGTTTCTTATCATGCAAATGTGATCAGGTATCTGACTTCCAAGAGAAAAAGATGCTCTCTCTGTTTAAAACAATCTCCTTGACCTCATTAGAATCAGGAACATGTCAGAGCTTGCTGAGTGTTACAGCAAATAAGCCAGTTCTGCTAGGGCTCTGGCTTCTGATTACTTTTGTTGTTTTATTTATAAGTGTAAAGTGAATGAAAATAATTAAATCTATCTATAGTTGATTGCAAACAACTATAAGTTATTTCAAAGCAAGGGTAATGTGTGGTTATTCTTCAATAATATTTCACAAATATTTTAAGCTGTGTGCTGTATGTTTAATACATGTGAGTATTGTCCCTAATGTATTGAGTTAAGGCTCATGGAAGGTAAGTGGCTTCTGAAGGACACACAGCTAGGAAGTAGGGGTTCCAGGGTGGGAACAAATGCAGACTGGCTCTGTTGGGGGGAGGGGACCCTTACTCCTTAAACCACCTCATCATACTATTTCCAAGATAGGAGAGGAAGCAGGTCTAAGCAAACATGTGGCAGTAAATTAGAGACCTTCAGTGATTCAGCTTCAAAATTCACTCATCTTTGCCCTTCTTTTTTCCTCTGTTCTTCCTTCCCAATGTCACCTCTTTTACTTTATTGTCACTTGCATACTGTATACCTTTGTTTTTGTTACTTTATTGAAATACCTGAGGCAGGCTAACTTTGCAAAGAAGGAAGGTTTATTTAGCTCACAGCTCTGGAGGTTCAAGGATGTGGCACCATCATTAGCAGGGCTCTGTTGGGGACCTCATGGCAGATGGCTCACATCCCTAGGCAGGAAGTCAGGCAGAAATTCAGGGTCAGGCTCAGGCTTTTATGACAACTTGCTCTCCTCAAAACTGTTTTGGGGGTCCCTGAGAAATACCTTAATACCTTTGGAGAGCAGTATCCAGTGACCCAAGGACTTCCCTCTAGGCTCTGCTTTTTATTATCTCCATGCTGAGGACCAAACTTTCAACACATAAACCCTTGAGGGACAAACCTCATCCAAACCATAGCACACACAACACTGAAATGCCTGCCTTATATTCCCATTCTGGCCAGTCCCCTTTAAATAGCTGTCTAACTGGGAGATAGTCTAATATTATGGGAAGAGGGTTTAAATTTGCTTAGATATAGATTTAAGTTTCTGTGCTGTCCCCCTTATTAGCTGTGAGATTTTAGATAGTAGTTTAAAAAAACATGACTCTTTTAGTCTTCTTATCTGAAAAATGGGCATAATAAGTCTTACTCCATTGGATCATTGTGGGGGATTTCATTAATATGTTTGTATGTTTGAGTAAAGTAGGTGTTTTTGGTTTTAGGTGTTTTTTTTTTTGTACTGGGGATTGAACTCAGGGGCATTCAACCCTTGAGCCAGATCCTCAGTCTTATTTTATATTTTATTTAGAGACAGGGTCTCACTGAGTTGCTTAGCACCTCACTGTTGCTGAAGCTGGCTTTGAACTCTCTTGATCCTCCTGTCTCAGCCTCCCAAACCACTGGGATTACAAACGGGTGCCACTGCACCCAGCTAGAAGGAAGCTTTTGAAATTACCTAGGGACAAGTAATTTAAATAAAGATTGTGGAGAGAAAATGAAAAAGAAATCAAAACAGGACATGACATGAAGGGAAATTCCACCTGAACTCACCGGATGCAAAATGTGAAGGAGAAAAGCTAAGACTGGCATTTGAGGAAAGGGAATATGTCGTCTTATTGTAATTCTTATGTTACCAGGTATGGTGCATGTCTTGGTGTGTTCAGGCTGCTATAAAAATGTATCTTATCCTGGATTTCTTACAGACAATATAAATTTGTCTCTTACAGTTCTGTAGACTGGTTAATCCAAGATCAAGGCTGCCACACATTTGGTGTGGGTGTGGGCTCTGTGCTTCATATATGGCTCCTCCTAGCTGTATCCTCGCATGGTAGAGGGGCCAGCTAGAATCCTGGGGTCTTTCATAAAAGCATTAATCCCTTTCATGAGAGCAAAGCCCTCAGGACCTTATCACCTCCCAAAGGTTGGGGATTAGGGTTCATTCAGCCCATGAATTTGGAGAGAAAAAAGTATTCAGACCATTACAGTGCCTTAAACATAGTAATTTTTTTGTGTTCTTGAATCATAAATAAAGGTATGAATTAAGGAAGAAAAAGTCTGAGTCTATATGACATGCACACACATATATATTATATAAAACATAGGACATATCTACATATGATATATATTGTTTTATATATTGGACAGTAGGTAACAGGCTATAGGATTCTCTCATATGTGCAAAATATAATAATACACACACACACACACACACACACACACATTATCCAAGTCCAGTGAGGTATTTCAAATGAGTAACAACACAGTGTGTTCTTAGAGAACCATATCAGCTAAAGTTAAGAAGTGTCCTTTTGAATATATTCCTGAGAAGGTGCTAATGGCTGCAGTGCTATTTTCTCTATAGTGGATAACTTTCAGCCACACTGATAAGATGCATAGGAAGATGAGGAAGAGAAAGTGTTTACAAAAGACCTCTCTCCCAAAATCCACCCCTCAAGCCATAGTACACATGATAAAGGTATGAGTGCTTTTACTAATAGAATGGATAAAATGCAGACTATTGGGAAAAGGGAGTGAAATGTGTTGGTTGGTTTTTAGTTTCTTCTTAAAGGTGGTGTTAAGAGCATTAGAACTATAAATGACACATTATATCAGCAATATAATGAGGATGAGTGATCTCTCATTCATTCTTCTGTGGTCTTCAGTGAAGAAATTACTTATATGATGGGTAAAGGGGAGTGCAAAGCTAAAAAAAATGAGCAA